AAAATAAATAAATATTCTATATGTCAAACTTTCATAATGTAATATGCTGTTCATCAAAGGTGCTATATTGACAGTATATAGACTGACCTCCTTTAACAGACAGAGCATGGTTAAGGCCAGTGGGATCTTCCCCAGGCTGTTTTTGCCACTTTATCACAAGTGTTACCTGAAAATTAGTATGAACTACCCATTTTCCATAAAGTTGTTTGAATTCTTTAAGACTTGAGTCCATCACACTAGCAACTACTTAAATAACCAATTCCAGGAGGAAACACTGAAAATAAGACATTATGAAATGTAGATTTTAGTAAGTATCATAACATTTCAAAAGTTGAGCTTTCATTAGAACTTCAAACCATTTTCCCCCAGTGAAGTTCTCAGTTTTGTGTTACACTGTTTTAATGCCTGTTTTGCTCTGACTTTTCTTACTCATGTCCATAAAGAAAGATACAATTTTGCACCAACTACAATGGAATATTCAAATATTGATGCTGTCACTAAAATTTGATTTTTAGTGTGACCTGAAATAAAAACAAATGATTTCTATAAAATGTACATACTTTACTTTTAACTGTCTTGTAAATATTGGGAGGAAAGAAAAGCAATTGGAAAATTGGATTTGTAGTCTTAGGAACAGAAGAAAGTGTTTAATAAATGCAAAAAGAGCCTCGTTCAACTATTTCAGCATCACATAAATGCCTTACTAAAGATAATGCCTAGAAGTTTCATGAGCTTTTGAGAAGGAAGCTTGTTTGCAGTGTATATTTGGCTCATGAGCTTCATTGCCTTTGATAAGCCTGGAAGTCTAACGGCTACAAAGTAAACAAGGAAGCAAAAAACAGTCTTGAAGTTTTGGTGTTGTGATGGTTGAAGCATGAAACAGTGGGGGAATCTGGAGGAAGTTGCACTATTTATCAACCTGATGTGGGGAATGACTTGTTTTGATAGTCCACGTTACTGTCACCAAGTGGAGAATCTCACCAGAGTGGTGTCGTGCACCTCCAGGCGCTTCGCGGGCCTTGGCAATCCACATCGTTCTCTTTCTGCTCCGTTTTTGGCAGTGGTTTAATGAAGGATAACTCCCTCCCTGCAGGCAGAAAGAAAAAGGAAAAATACTCTTCAAAAGGCTGTCAGATGAAAATCTGCTTTACAGTGCATTATTTGCTTTGCTTTATTTTCTGCGATAGAATAGGAAGGAGAATTCTTTTTTGGGTTAACTTTTGATTCCATTGAATCACATAGCATACTCCTTGATTTGGTAGAAAGGGAAAGTTTTATTTAAATGAAAATGTTTTCAGACATCCATCTTGCCATTGAATTATGAAAGCAAATAAGAAATGGAAATGAAAATTCAACCATTCTGCTTAGTAGGATGTGCATCTCAAGTCCAGGCAGATTAGGTTGGACAATGTTCTTGCTTCGCTATTGTTAGTCTTACTACCTTCATTGGAAAAAGAGCTTGAATATGTTGGCTTTTTTTTTTCATTTATTGGATTTATTAGATCTTAATTTATATGGAATAATTCAGAAGTTATTCATGCTATTTCAAGGTGGATTTTTGAAAGCAGTCAAATACTTGAGAACTTGACCTAGTCTTATTACTAAATGTCATTTTAAAAGTCTGCTCAGAATCTATTTTAATATGGACAAAGTTATACAAATTAATAGCTTATTTTCCTGTGTGGCACTACGTGTTTTTTCCTGCTATTCATTATGTGCTTTTTTCCTTCAAACAGGTATAACTAGCATAGGAATTCTCAAACACTTTGAGATTAGACTACCAGAGTATGAAATGAAATTTTAATTTTCAATATGTCCATACATGTTGAATATGATCTATGGAAAATGGTAAAATGAAGTGTGATTTGAGTGGACTATTTTCTAGATGTACGTGATAGGTGAATGTTACCTTTGTTCCCAAGCAATGATGGAGAATTATTTCTAAAGAACTTGAGACTGTTTTGGCCTAGTAGGTGGTGCACCGGGAGTTAAACATCAGGCAAAAAGTAAACATTACAAAACTGTTTCATTCACAGCTTGCTCTCATTCTCTTGTGCTGAATAGACTGTCCTATGGGGAAAGAAAATACTTTTCTAATTAAAGATTAAATTGTGGCATTTATACACTTTAGCATCTTCTACATTTTTAAATGTTCTATTTTGCAATGCTAATTTCAGATATTACAGATTTTATTCAAAAACTGTATGAAAAATAAGTGGAATAAAAGTCCATTATCCATTATAAATTCCAGAAATATTAACACTAATGCTAATCTAGTCTGTTTGTTTACCTTTGAGAATAATCATTTTTAATTTTTCACCATGCACAGATGGAAAGTATTTAAATGATGAATTTTTTATGGGGATAACAGAATGTGTTTTCTTCATAGGTGTGTAGCCTCATGACCAGGTGTGATTTTGTTTCTGAGTACTCACTGAATTGAATCAATATTATTACAGTTTTTAGAAGAAATTTGGCTTGATGTATGGCTTGGAAAACTAGATGCCTGAGATATGGTTGCTATAAAAAAATTCTCCTCCCTATGCAAAGGTTAAGTTAATTGTACCGTGTATCTAAATTTTATGCCAAGTGTTTGTTAGATTTTCTGTTTCCTTAGATAAATAAGCAGTAAAAGTCCCCTATGAAATTGTTATAGCCTTCTTTCCATTTAGTCTATCTTCTTTTATATCCCTTGTACCAGCAGTCAAAAGAGGATGTAGTTTCTGGAGGTAATAACTGTTCGTAGCTTCCAGGGTTATGAACGTGATCTTTACAATAAGGATTTACCCTATAAATTGTTCCACAGAGCTTCACAAATTCCCAGTCAGAGGCACTAGTTCATCCATTTAACTAATTCTGCACATACATGGATGTGAAGGCTTACTAGCCTTCATACTAGGTTTTTATAGCTTATGGAAGCAAATAGAGCAAGGTCTCCATATTACTTGTAATGCTAATTGTGAGATTATCTTGTTTTATGTGTGTTTTTTTTTTTTTTTCCTGTTTCTATACTTCTTCCACTACATCACATTAAATTGGTTATTCACAGTCAGTGATTAAAAAAGTTTAACAAGTTTATACAAAAGCCTAAATGGGGTAAATTTAGAATATAATTGTAAGGCAGATTACATGCAGATATTGATTGGTATTAAAAACTTGCTGCCTAGCAATTTGTCAATTGTAAAGTGAGGTCTGTGCATTAAAGAGTATTTTCATTCTTTAAATAATAGCTTGTACAGCATGAAATGAAGTCTACAGGAGAAAAATTTTACATTTAACAATGCTAAAAGGGCTTTTTAGTGTAACATGGATAAAAATATGAACTTAATGATGCTTCTGTACAGACTTTCATTTGTGGGTCTTCTAGCTGGTGGGAAGCAAATGACTTTTCAGTAGGAAATAGTTACCAGTCCTACAAATGATCATTAATGTCACACTCCGCTACAGGTTATTGGAGTGAAAACAAGTATATCTACAAACTGCTTAGCACCTACTGCTGCTGGCAAATGAGAGGCCAGGTACTGCAGAAACAGCATTATGGCGTGTGTTCACCACTAATTTAACAACCACTTTTGTTTTTCTTACAAGTATAATGTTGGCAGGCTGTCTAGAGTCACATTAGTTAGGATTTGATGGTGTTTGCTTCTGTATTTAAAAAAAAAAGGGGGGGGGAGATAATTTCAGAATTTTGCATGTTCTACTGGCAAAGAATGTAAAAATTGAGTGAACTGGACAAATTTAAGCAGTTTCATTTCACTAAATAAGAGAATGAGAATTTTTGTGACACGTCACTTTGGCGAGTTCTCTTCATATAAAATACCAGGCTGTAATGAAATGATTCACAGATGCAATAGCTTCTCTTTGCATGCAAAGTGTTGTTTTGGGAGATTTTTTTTCCTCCTCCTTGCTGATGCTTTTCCCTCTGTGGTAGGCGAACTTTGGGGCAAAACTCAGCAGCTTCCCAATAATGTGCTCTCTAAGGATAAAGCAGGATCTGAAATAATCATCATTGTCCTAGAAATTAGTGTTATATTAAATCTACACTCAAAGTTTGTAGTACTGGGGCTAGGTGGAAGCTCCTGTAAAATGGACTTGGGCGACTGGAGCGGAGTTTAACGGCTGCTCATGCCAATGTTTATGGTTTGTGCATCTGGAGGGAAGAATAGCTGCCGTGTATTGGATGTTTTGTGGAAAGGACGTGCATCGTCTTTCCATTATTCCTGCTCATAAAAATACTTGTGAAAGTAGAGCTGTTTTATGAAGCAACTTTGATGTATTATAAGCATGATGTGTTTTTTCATGTATGCACATAAACTATAATTATAATGCCAGTTAAATTAGCTTCCTAAATGGTGAATAACATGGGCTATGTTTTATATAAAATGCTAGTTCCAGTTTCTTTTGTAAGTGCACGTTCTGTGCAGCTCAGCAGCCCTTGCTAAAGGAACACATGTGGAGCTTTAAACATATTTTACCTCCAGCCCTTTATAGATGGGATATAAAAGCGTGCTGTATAACATAATAAATGTTATGGAAAGGAACCACATGTTTTCCAAGGAGAAAATGCATTTTAGTGATCTGTGTAGTATGTTTATATCCATATGGCATGCTTTCCTTCTTACTTACCTGACTGTTCTTCCATTCCCGGTGTCATTTGTCAGTTTTCATACTTCAGTGAGAGCTCTGGTGATTTTGGGAAGAATTCTTGTGGTTTACAGTAGATTGAGTTAAAAAAAAAGTTTTATGAAGATGCCATAGCCCTACGTAGAGCTCTGAAGATTTTTTTAAGAGGTGAAATAAAATAAAATACAATTTTTCCTTTGCTATATCTCTTACAGAATAATGGGGGAAAAAAAAAAAAAAAAACAAAACTCCCCTTTCTTCTAAAAATGGCCTTTTGGTGGGATGGGTCCCTCCATGGAGCTTCCTGCTGTTCCAATCCCGTGTGTGGTGTAACTGGACTCTTGCTCTTTCTGAATCCCATTCTCTCCTCTTGACAGCCTGGGGTAACCTGGGGAATGTCCTCAAGAGCCAGAGCAAGATCTCCGAAGCCGAGAGCGCCTACAGAAACGCCTTGTACTACCGCAGCAACATGGCCGATATGCTTTACAACTTGTGAGTATGGCCCTGGTGAAATGCAGAAGTGCTTGTTTTTTGTCCCCATGTGATTACCCACCTGACTGGGAACCACAGAGCTGCCTTCCACGGTGCTATGGGCTCATCACCCTTGAGCAGGATACGCTGTTTTTGCTCCATGTGTGCAGGGCCAAAGCCAAGTGGGTGCCATTTGTTGGCCATAACATAAATAAAATCTCTTGGGTGATACAATAGCATATCTATGAGACAAAAATTGTGCAAAAAGTAAATAAATATATTAAACCTCTTAAAAAATATACTCTCTTATTTACAATATCCAGAAGTTAAATTTCCGCTTGCCTGTATTAACTTTTAAAGCAGGTTGGCCTTTTCATTAATTTGTTTCTTACATTCTGAGAACTCTCAAGTTTTTTTCAGAATAATTTAATGATAGAATATCTATTCAAAAAGGAAATCTATATACCTAAAAATGTATTTTGTTTTAATAGCACAGTTTTTATATTAACATATGTATATGCACATATATGTACGTGTGCATATATACATAAACATTGGCCTATGTTACATGATAGAGAGTGTGAATAACACCATTTTAAAGATTTTTTTTCTTATCACTTTTAAAATAGTATCTGCCAAACTCAGATTGTAGGACTAGATGGATGCTGCTAAACTTCTTACATGTCATTTATTTGGGGGATGAAAATTATAACTATTTTCCATATGCCTACTCAGTACCTTTTTTGTCTTGCTCAGTCAGTGTCATAAAAGGAACATGAAAGTTAATGGTAGGATTGGAAGACGGAAGGGGGTTGGGAGATAAAAACAGGGATATAAAAGAAATCAGATTTCAGTATTTTTGCTATTCACAGAAAAGGCTGATAATCTTATGCTAATGATAAGCTTTCCACTGGTATACAAAATATATGCCTACGTATGATATATTTCAGTTGAATAGAAAGTTTCTTGGAATTCTACTTAATTTGTGTAAGAGGAGTTTAACTGAAGTGAGGGCTGGACTGTATAGGACATGAAGTTACCTACATATACATGTGAAAGTAGAGGAAGTAGAACTGTATTTAAGTGTATCTTCTATAGTATCTGTATATGTATGCAGAAGCAAAAAGGATCTCTAATTCTTAATCTCCTTGCTAGTATTGTATATATAATAGAAACCTTTCTCAAAAAAACCCCACAACTCTCAAAACCAAGTTATTCTACAGAAATGAAAAAAGCTTACTTTTTTTTTTTAACATTCATGATAGGATTTTAACTCTTCTTTTTTCATTATGCAGTCTCTGTTTCTTTTTTTTGTATATTTCCACATACAGCCTGCAAACCAGGTGGTCAGAGAAGTAGATTTTGATATTACGGGATCCCAATTTTAAGCAGAAACCCTGAAGATCTCCCTTGCAGGTTCATTCCAACTTTGGCAAGCGGTTCTGTAGGAGCCTTACAAAAATACTCTACTCTGGAAAAGCATATCTTGTCAAGTGCTTACAAAGAGGTGATTTAGGTTTATGGTTTCTGTTTTTTTAATATGTGCCTTTAATACTGAAACAATCGTTTAATAGAGCTTTAGAAAGAAAACATACTTCCAGTCATTTCTACTTATTAGTTTTGGGCCCTAATTGTATTTTCCCGTTACATACTCTATTTTTTCTCAACATTTGTACCGCTATATTTGATATGAATTAATTACTGCCTCCAGCTGAGTCTTCATATACTGCAGTAGCAAATCAATATGCTATCTGACTGGGGAACAGATAATTAAGGATTATCTCACAGTTTTCAATGAGTAATAATCGAGGATAAACAGGAGAACATGATCATTTCTCTGTCTTTTCTTTCAAGAAGCTGTCTTAAGCGTCTAAAAGCACTAAAATGTACTGTTGACTTAACAGTTGTTTTTGATACATTAAAATCTAGAAAATAAAGCAGATTAGGTCAATGGCTGTTTTCAATAATGTATTTTTTATTCTTTGACTGTTGTAACTCTGAGTCACCTCTACTTTTGCCATTGAGGACAATTTAAATTGCATAAATTTAGAGTTCAGGGCAATTATATAATCTACATTTGAAGGTTTGCCTCATTCAGAATATTCATTTCCCATATTGTTAAATATGATAATTATGTAGCCAATTACGTAAGCCAATTCTTAAACTTTTAGAGAAGAGCAAACACGTAATAGAGACTAAAGGATAAGGTATTAATGTGGAGAAAGAGGGTACATATAATGAATCGTCAGGCATGTAGGTTACAGAGAACTGGTTGTTTCAGAAATGAGCAGACCTTGAGGAACTCTGATTTACCATCAACATTTTGTTTTCAGTTCTGCCTTCCCATTATCTACAAGCTACCTGGGAAGTAAGATCAATTGTAATCCAACTTGCATCTTTCATGAGGATTATGTTTTAATAATTTTTTTTACTTAAAAATTAAAAAAAAAGCTTGAAAAAAATGGTTTTGCTTTTCATACCAACTTCAATAGTTGGAGGATTTTGCTTGTTTTATACTGTAGATAGAGAATATATTACAATATGATTTGAATATGGTAGTTTGCACTTCAAAAACAAATAGTAATTGCTCCCCACCACCCCCGAAAATAGCTCCTCTGTCATCTTTAGAGTGTTCTACAGATCAGTTTTACAAATACATTTCAAAGCTCGGATGTAAATTGGATTTTATAGGGTGTTAAATCCAACACAAACTGAAACTTCTTCCTATGCCTCACTCTTTTGGAGAGGGAGAATTCCTTTTATTTTAATATCATAAAGGACCAAGGACAGAGCTATAGAAGAAAAAGTTGTTTGTTCTCCCAAACTAGTCAATGTTCAGTAGGTTAAAAAGAAATTGGTTTATTATGGCTGTTCAGTTTTTGTTAAGTTATGACTGTTTCTGAAAACTCCTGGGTTTTTGGATTTCAAGATGCTTCTAATTACTGCCTAAAGTCAAATTACTTTCCAGTCTGAAGACAGTTGATATATAATTTCATTTGTGCTTAGGCCTAGCTCTGTTTATTCTTGTATCATCTGTACTAATAATCTTTGTTAATTTGAGTTTCTCAGCAGAGCTCAAGTATGTTCACTTTCTCATGGAAACATTGAATATGCCTTCAAAATGCTGCTAATTAATAGGCATTAATGTTGAGGTTTCAGAGGATACCATGCTCCATAAGTGATAAATTTCTGCTGCACAGCAATCCTCTTGTGCTTTTGCCTCCCTGCAGGTATCTTAGTCTGTGAGTACAAGACTATTACTCAAACAATTTAATTTCCTTGAATGAGTTCAAAGGGTCCTTTTCATAAGTTTTACTTTGGCAAGCCTAGGGTGTTGAAGCAATTGCCTCAATATATATTTTTTTCTCAAGATTTCTTTTAGGTAATAAATTCTTCAATAACAACTGAAATTTTAATTCTCCCAAGTTTGCGATTGCAGGAGTATTTTATAGGCAAACATTAACTCTGCATCCTTGGGTGCAATCTCTGGAAAATCGCATGAGCCAAATCCTTCCTGACCTCTCTCAGTTGGCCTCCTTTCGATCCTCCCTCTCCCTCTGCCCTTTTTAATGCTGCCACGAGGGTTTCCCATGCTAAGCTCTGAGAGCCGACGAGCTGCCGGGCGCCCACGGCTGCTCCTGCAGGACATGTCCCAGACAGGGATGATGCGCTGCTTCACGTAGGAGGAAAAGACTTAGGGCCAGATCCTCTTCCTCGAGAGCACAGCAGATTTTATAATCCAAAATGCTGAGATGAAATCAGAAGAGGCTGCAATTCCCTGTGGATGCAATCCACGTGTTGCGTGCCGGTATTTCATGTATTGAAGCCAGCAGCCACGGTTTGCATCATGCTGCAGTCACCGTATCCCATGTGAGGGCTGGTGGGTGTACAGGGCAGGAGGAGGCTGCTCCCCTTTCCTCGGGAGCCTCCCTCCACCAAGGAAACCAGAGCCATGAGAGATGGTGCTTTGCACAAATGATGCTAATCCCAACTGAGTTGCATAGGGAAAAATTGGGGAATCATATTCAGCAACCAATTTGTTTGCATCTGGAAAGCTCTTCTGTAGAGTAATTAGAAAATGATAGAACTGCTACTATTACCTCAAAGATTTAAGATTTTTTTTTTTTTTTTTTTTTTTTTTTTGCATATGGAGATCTTTTTACTAATGAGGTTATGGATTGCTCTGCTTGATTAGTCTTGCCAAGGGAATGGTCATCCTGTGTTATTGCTTGCTGTATGGTTTATGCTTGGGTTGTTATGGATTAAAAGAGTAGGATCTATTTGTCATTTACGTGTTTGCTAACAGGGTGCTATTGGAAAACATTGCCTGTGTTTTGTGCTTATATTGCTCCTCACTGACCGACTTCCTGGTTAATGGAAAAAAAATGTAGATTCTTATAAAAAGTTAACATTCACTCAGTTGAGTAGTGAAATGTCTTTACTGTTAGAAAACAAAAGAAAGCAAACAAACAGAAAGAACAAAGTCTTAACTAAAGAACAGACTTAATTGTTTATATATGAGGCAGCAGCAGCATCCATGCACCCCTTTCCACAACCTAGTTTGGCAAATGAAAATGGAAGAGTTGCCTTAAGGCAATCAAGACATGTCCTTTTCTTCCTACATGGCTAGAGATGGAATATGTGGGAATACAAGAGGGTTTTCTTCCATTTCTTACCTGTTGACCAGTACAACATCTACATGAATACAGTTCTTGGTTGGCAGTCCCACCTGAAATCAGCGGGATGGATGTATATGGAGCCAGGGATGGTGGGAAAATTAGCGATTAATTAACAAGCCCTGAAAGTATTTTAGTAGGTTATACATTTACCTTGATGACAGTTATGTTTCCCTTATATTACACTTGGTCAAGTTATACCAGCTTTAGTCACTGAGGAATTTGCTCTGTAAGTAGACCAGCTGGTTTTAATGGGACTACACCAGGAAGAGATTAGTATGTAACTTGAGTAAAAGTAGTAGACTCCCTCCCCACTGTTTATATTTTGAGCCTGCTTTTCAGGCT